CATCCTATCCTCTTGACATCTCGGGCCACTGGGTACCCGCCAAGCGCGGCGAAAGGCAAGGGTGGCGAACCCTTCAAGGCCCTGAGCCCTTGGCGGCTCCGAACCCTTCATCTTGGGGACGAAATGAACCCCAAAATTGGGGTCATAATGACTCCTATGAAGGTATATGAACCCTAAACCCTTTTAGGGTTCATGTAGTCCCCAAGGAACAGGCCCTCAGATTTGGCAGGTTCTGAACCCTTGCAGGGCCTGAACCCTTGCAGGGCCTGAACCCTTGCAGGTACTAGCACCTCAATCTACGTGCCCTGCAGCCCTCTTCCTTTCTGTTCGGTTTTTCTGGCCCTAGTTCTGGGTAGGGAATGAGGGAATGAGGGCCCTGTATTATATAGGGTACCTCATTCCCTCATTCCCTACCAAGAACTCCAGTCCAGGACATCATCCGCCTCGAGGGCTGTCAAGCACCCAATACTTCTACAGCCACAAAACCCTCAGTCTCCTGAACCCTACACCTGTCTTGCTATTCCTTAAGCTTATAAGCCCTACACCCCCCCAAAAGCTTATAAGCCCTAACCCCCCCCCAAACCCCCTCAATGACTCAATCCTAACAACTCCTGAAAACCTTAACCCCAAAACCCCCAGACCCCCTAGAACGTCCTTATCAACACACAAGAAAAAGCCCCTATGCTATCCTCGAGCCCCTCCCTCACTTGCCCTACATTCCAACTCTTAAAGACCTAAATCCTAAGCCCTTCTCAACTGCCCTGTATCCTGGACCCTATACGTACCGTACACCACCTACCCGAAAAACCCTGAACATCATCCTATAAGCTTTAATGCCTAAAACATCCTACAACCCTGAAAGCTCTGAAAACCCTCTAAACCCGCTAAACCCCTTAAATCCCCTAAACCTTTAACCCCCTAAACCCGCTTTTCCCCGCTAAAGCCTTCTTAGCCCCCTAAACCCTAAGCCCTAAACCTTAAACCCTAAGCCCTAAGCCCTAAGCCCTAAACCCTAAACCCTAAACCCTCAACCCTCAACCCTAAACCCTAACCCCCCTCCCCCCTCGCAGGCGCCGGCGCGAAGTCTGCGCCGCACTCACAGCGTCGGGGCAACTCCTGGGTTGGGTTTAGGGTTTAGGGTTTAGGGTTTAGGGTTTAGGGTTTAGGGTTTAGGGTTTAGGGTTTAGGGTTTAGGGTTTAGGGTTTAGGGTTTAGGGTTTAGGGTTTAGGGTTTAGGGTTTAGGGTTTAGGGTTTATTAGGTTTAGGGTTTAGGGTTTAGGGTTTAGGGTTTAGGGTTTAGGGTTTAGGGTTTAGGGTTTGGGGTTTGGGGTTTAGGGTTTAGGGTTTAGGGTTTAGGTTTAAGAGCTTCGGGGTGTTCAGGGTTGAGGGCTTCAGGGCTTTGCGTGGGGGGCAGGTTGAGGTGTCTAGGGGGGGGTCTATAGACCCTATAGGGTTGAGGTGTTGAGGGTGGGGGGGTTAGGAGGGTTTAGGGTTGAGGTGTTTAGGGTGGTTTCGGAGTTTTCGGGGGTTTGTATCGGGGTATAGGTTTTTGGGTTTAGGGGTTTAGGGAGTTAGGCGTTCAGGGGTTAGAGGTTTCGGAGTTCAGGGTTTTCAGGGCCTGGGGTTTAGGGGTTTCATGGTGATAACTTAGGGGGTTCAGCTCTCACACGGCTTAAATAGGCTTGAGAGCGTTTAGGTTGCAAGGATTTTAGTTGGTGTTCACCGTTCTGGCTGCGTGCAGAAGCATAGTTCCGTTGCGTGGATTCTGGCAGACTTAACAGCCTAAACCGTAGCAGGTTAGATACTGGCAGGTTTGAGCGCGCGTAGTAGGTTAGATACTGGCAGGTTGAGCGCCCCTCCCCCCACAAAAAAAAGAGTCAAATTAACAAATACAAAATAAATTCACACAATCAAACAAACGCAAGGACCGAAACCCTAGAACCCTAAGACCTGTATCCCTAAAACCCTGAACCCTAAAACCCTAAAGCCCTAAAGTCCAACAAGGCCCTAAGATCCAGACCCTAAAGCCCGACACCCCAAGCAAACACCCCACTAAAAGAAAGCCTCGGCTTCGAAACCCTTGGCGCCAGCCAAATTTCGGGTGATTAAGGGTTAGGTTTGTCAGGGTTAGGGTTTTTAAGGTATTAGGGTTTAGGTTTGATTGCCCTGGGCAAGAAGTTCCTAAGTCTAACTCCCCCTTGAAGACAGCTGAGGGATTAGGGCCATTCAGGTTTAGGGTTTAGAGTTTAGGGTCATTAGGGTTTAGGATGATTAAGGTTTTAGGGTCTCTAGGGTTTAGGATTTAGGGCATAAGGGTCCAGGGGTATTGAGGCTTGGGCCTGTGGTATCCGGAAAGGGGTTTAGGGTTTAGGGTTATAGGGTTATAGGGTTATAGGGTTATAGGGTTATAGGGTTATAGGGTTATAGGGTTATAGGGTTATAGGGTTATAGGGTTATAGGGTTTAGGGTTTAGGGTTTAGGGTTTAGGGTTTAGGGTTTAGGGATACTTCGGAAGCATGCAGACCGAAACGGCCTCAACGGTCGTGTCCGGCGCAGTGGAGCCTGAGGTAGGGTTTAGGGTTTAGGGTTTAGGGTTTAGGGTTTAGGGTTTAGGGTTTAGGAGTTAGGGTTTAGGGTTTGGGGTTTAGGGTTTAGGGTCTAGGGTCTAGGGTTTAGGGTTTGGGGTTTGGGGTTTAGGGTTTAGGGTTTGGGGTTTAGGGTTTGGGGTCTCGCCCTACACACTATACCGTGCTTCTGCCTCGGCTCTTGACTGAACTCTCGCACTAGGTTGGCCCTTACAACCCCTCTCAGAAACAGATCCTCTGAAGTCCGATAGAGGAAAACAACAAATCCAAGGGCCTACCCAGCAGAATTCTGACTTCTTCGCCTAAGGCGGCGTCATCGGGGGGGCACCCCGTGACCCGAGCACGCAAAACGAACACTTCTCATGCCAGGTTGACCCCGACGGACCCCCCAAATTTCGTTCAAGCGATGTGGTCTGAGCCGGAAGGGTACAACCTACCCTAGAACAGCCCTAAACCCTACTAAACCCTTAAAAACCCCTTAAAGACTAGGTTCAAGCCCGAACAACGCAAGCCTCCTTCAAAACAAAGAGAGGTTTCGGGGTTTAGGGCTTAGGCTGAAAGAGGTTTAGGGCTTTGGGTTTAGGTTCGGGGCTTGTGGCCCTAAACCCTAAACCCGAACCCCTAATCCCTTGGCAATACTCCGTCTAGGGAACCAGCCGAAGGGTAAACCCTAATCCCTAGACCCACAGCTCCCTACATGCCTAAGCCCCTATAAGACCCGAACACCTTCGATCCCCAAGCCTCTCCTAGTCCCGAAGTAGGGTTTGGGGTTTGGGGTTTAGGGTTTAGGGATAGGGTTTAGGGATTAGGGTTTAGGTTTTAGGGTTGAGGGTTTAGCGTTTAGGGTTGGTTTAGGGTTTACGTTTTACACCGCCCCCCCATCCCCGGCTGCCTTGGGCCGGACAGAGCGTTGAGTATTGCCGGTGGAGCCTGGGAGGCTTCGGGGTCTTTTGGGGTTTTGGGGTTTCGGGGCTTTAAGGTCTTAGGGTCCCCTAAACCCTAAACCCTAAACCCTGAACCCTGAACCCTGAACCCTGAACCCGAAACCCTATACCCTAAACCTTTTAAGGTGCTGGGGTTTGTGCGAGGAAAGCAACGTACAACTGCCGGGTTAGGGTTGAGGGTTTAGGGTTTAGGCTTTAGGGTTTAGGCTCTAGGGTTTAGGAATTAGGGTTTAGGGTTTAGGGTTTAGGGTGGAGGGTTAAGCACCGAACACTCTACCCCAACCTGAACCCTGAACCCGAAGCCCTGAACAGGCTGGCCCCTTGAAAACCTCTACTAATCTCATAACTCTTTTCAACATGCTCCTGACTTGCTGTTGATTCATAGGAAATGAAGGAAAAGCAACCAGACCACAACTTGCTTCGGCGCCTGTGTTGCCTTATGGGGACCAACAGTGAACCCTCAAAACCCCGAAGCCAAGAAGCCTTGAACCCCTCAACCTGACACCCCAATCTCAACCCTGACGCCCCTGCACCCCTAGATCCCCTAAAACCCCTAGAACCCTGAAACTTGCGGGAAGCACCCCAAACTGTCCTTTGGGCTTGCGTGGCGGGTGCGGGGATTGGGGGTATCTTCGGCTTTCAGCTCCCGACTCCTCCAGCCTTTGTGTGGTCTCAATCCCAGCTTCAAACCGAGACCCCTAAACACCTAAACGCCCAAGACCCCTTGACCCCCCTAGAGCACTAAACTCCTGTAGGCCCCTAACCCCCAGAGCGAAACTCTAAACCCTAGACCCCCCCAGAACCCTAAACCGCTAGACCCCTCTGAACGCCTAAGCCCTAAACCCTAAACCTTAAACGCTAAACCCTAAACCCTAAACCTTAAACCCTAACTACACCCTAAACCCTAAACCCAAATGGCTCGGGGTTCGGCAGCACTTTTTGAGGCCTCTGGGATGTATTTTGAGCCCTTTCGGGTTTAGGGCTCAGGGTTGAGGGCTTGCTTAGGGTTTAGGGGCTTAAAAGGCTTTAGGGCTTTAGGGGCTTTAGGGCTTGAGGGCTTTAGGGCTTCAGGGCTTCAGGGCTTTAGGGCTTGCTTAAAGTTTAGGGGCTTAGGGCTTTAGGGCTTTGGGGCCTGAGGGGTGGGTAGTTTCACGCCGCAGAGCCCCTCAGAGTAGGCGATTTGCTGCGGCGACACCGGAGCGCAGCCCGAGTCCACGATTGCGACTTTGTTAGCCGCCGTGGCCATAGCTGCGCTCCGTCGTTTCAAGGAACCAAGGAGGGACCCTTGTAAGGGACGTTTAGGGTTTAGGGTTTAGGGTTTAGGGTTTAGGGTTTAGGGTTTAGGGTTTAGGGTTATTCAATTTAGGGGCTACTTGGGGTATAGGGAGACTACATAAGGCAAAAAGAGAGGTTCTATAGGGGAATCAGCATATAAGGGTCCATTCTATAGGGGTCCCTCCTTCTACCCCTTTAAATCGTGTTCCGGCCGGTGCCGTCTTCGAGAAAGCGCGCGATCTCGAGATGGCCAGCGGCAGAGGCCAACATCAGAGCCTAGACCCAGGAGTCACCTAGGAATAAAAAAGGGCACCCTTTTTGGTTTTAAGAGGATTAGAGGGGAAACCCCAAATTCAAACCCTAAGCCCTAAGCCCTAAGCCCTAAGCCCTAAGCCCTAAGCCCTAAGCCCTAAACCCTAAACCCTAAAATAACCAAATAAGGGCCTACGCCGGGTCCTAGGAGCCGTCGAGCCATTCTTGTCCACGATGTCCTTCCGGGCGCCGGCTCCTACCAGGAGGCGCACGACAGCGGCATGGCCTTTCGAAGATGCCAGCATCAGAGGCGTGGCGCCCTTGTGGTTGTCCTTACGTCTCCAATAACCAGGGAATAAAGAAGCTTAAACCTTTTTCATTCCTAAACCCGAACCCGAAACCCGAAACCCGAAACCCTAAACCCTAAACCCGAAACCCTAAAGAAGGAACCCCAAAAAAATCTAAAGTTCAACTCTTGGCTAAGTCAGTGTCTGTCATGTTCATGCCAGCACCGGCTTTTACGAGGAGGTGGACGACTTCAACATGGCCTTTGATGGAGGCAGCATGCAGAGCTGTGACGGCGAGCTTGTCCTTAGGCTTTCAATGACCCAGGGACAAAAAAGTACATACTTTTGGGGGCGACTTACCTCATATAGGAAACCCCAAAAAACAAAAAAGGTAAAAAAAAAAAAGAAAAAAAAAAAAAAAAAAAAAAAAACACAATGCTCAAAAAATAATAATGATAATACACAGACTGCTGAACAGCCCAGTTGTCTGCGACGTCCTTTCCGGCGCCGGCCTCGAGCAGGAAGCGGGCGACCTCCACGTGGCCATGGAAGCAAGCGGCCATCAAAGGTGTGCGGCCGTGCCTGTTTGCCACATCCTTACCTGGGATGGCCCCTTCTAAAACCCTCTGAAATATCACATTCCAGATCCTCTTAAACAAAACACATAAGGGAAAATAACAAAGATCCTTGAAAACCCAATAAGGGAAAACTAAGCAGATCCTCTTATACCCAATAAGGGAAAATAAACAAGGTCCTCCTGAACCTAATAAGGGGCAAAAGGTCCTCTTGGAAACCCAGTAAGGGAAGCTATATAAAATGCCCCAAAAAGGCCTACCGAGTTACCATAAACGCCTACCGAGCTACCATCGACGACATCGCCCGCCTCCAGCAGCAGACGCACGATGGCCGCGTGGCCGTGGCGGGCTGCCAAGACCAGAGCTGTCGAGCCGTGGATGTCTACCTGGGACACTGTATTATTTACCTACATGGGGTTTAGGGTTTAGGGTTTAGGGTTTAGGGTTTAGGGATACCTGCTTGGAGGTTCAGGGTACTTAGTAACCCAATGATAAGTGTAGATTTCATCCACTTGTAAGCCCCTTAAGTACCCTAACAGGGTTATAATGGGGTCTACCTGGGACCCTATCATGTACCTACAGGTTTAGTAGCCAGTATCCCTCCCCCCCACCCTCCAATTGGTAGGTAAAACCCTTACCCCCCCACCCCCCAAAAGGGTAAATAGGGTTAGTAGGTAAAACCCCCTTTTTTTCAAAGCTGTAGCTAAATATAGGGTCCCAGGTACAATATCTTTGCGGGCACCGGCTTCGAGCAATAGGCGGGCAACTTCCACGTGGCCTTTCCTGGGTGGCCAAGAACCCAAAGCCCTGCAGAGGAACCAGTGGTACTACTGGGCATCCTAGAAAGAAAACAAAAGCCTACAACTGGGACCCTATCTACCCACAGTTTTAGTAGTAAGTACCCCCTACATTTAGTAGGCATAACCCCTAAACAATGGAGGTACATAGGGTCCCAGGTGGTATTCGAGACCCAAGCATCAAAGATGCATACATCAAAGCCGTCGCGCCGTTGACGTTGTCTGCCGTGTCCTTGCCGGCACCGGCTTCGAGCAACAACTGCAAGACGGCGAGACGACCATTGCGAGATGCGGCCATCCTCGTTTGACAGTTTAAGGTTTAGGGCTTAGGGTTTAGGGTTAGGGTTTTGGATTTAGGGTGTGGGATGTCGGTGTGGGATTTAGTGTTGGGGGCTTAGGGGGCGGCGACGAACGTACTTTACACAACTAGGATTTCTAATCTCTTTCGTTGTTTCTGTCATATTCCAATCTGGCGGTAGTATATAGACCACATACCGTGTAGAGTATGAGGCGGAACATCCCAAGACCCTAAACCATAAACCCTAAACCCTAAACCCCTAACGTTTCGTCCACCAAGGATCAGAGCTGTACGGCCTTGCAGGTCGGCTTTGTTCGGGTCCTGCGGAAGCTGTAGCATAGCCTCGACCTGGAAAGGTTTAGGGTTTAGGGTTTAGGGTTTAGGGTTTAGGGTTTAGGGTTTAGGGTTTAGGGTTTAGGGTTTAGGGTTTAGGGTTTCGGGTTTAGGGTTTAGGGTTTAGGGTTTAGAGCTTAGGGATTAGGGCTTAGGGTTTAGGGTTCAAAGTGTTCGAGGGCTTAGGGAGGTCTGTTTGCTTGGTAACAGCCCATGTGGAAGGTTGATCTCAATTATTATGCGGCCTTTGATGAATTTAACCCACGTGTACCCCAAAAGAGTATTTGGGCTTCATATATATATATATATACATATACATGTATACACATATATACATATCTACATGTGTGTATATATATATATACTCACCAAGAACAGTACTGTAAAGTAAACACTGCTTCAATGGGCACTTGGGCCTCGTTGGGGAGCAACGCAGCTTGAAAGCCTGCCAACCTTAAAGTGTGAAAACCTAAACCCTATACTCTAACTACATCCTAAACCCTAACCCCCAAACTCCCAAAACCTAAACCCGCCTTGGCCACAGAGCCCTTAAGAGCAGCGGACTTGAGCTCGTTGACGCACACTTCAGAAACATCGCAGTAGGTAAGCAGCACCAGCTCAATATCCATGGCGGCGTCCAAACCTCGGAAACCAAATGAACCCCAAAAAGGGCTTATGGTTCATTTTATGACCTTCATCGGGATTGTCGTAGCATAGGGCAAACCCTAAACCCTAAACCCTAAACCCTAAACCCTAATTCTTGGGGCTTCATGTGGCCCCCCCCTGAGAAGGAACTGGTGAAGTCGTCGAGGAAAGAGCAGTCGTGGAGGAGGCGCTGCTGGAACCGTGGGACGAAGCAATGCTGCACATGCAAACCTGGGAGTTGAGAGAGGCTTCGGGTTTGGGGCTTAGGTGTTAGGGGTTTAGGGTTTAAGTTTAGGGTTACACACATATATATATGTACATGAATAAATGAATAAATAAACAAATATGTATATATATAGATATATGTGTGTATGTATGTATGTATGTATGTATGTATGTATGTATGTAGGTATGTATGTATGTATGTATGTATGTATGTATGTATGTATGTATGTATGTATGATGTGCGTGTGTGTTGGCGTGAGGGTTTCTAAGGTTCGCATATAACTTATGAATATTCAGTTCATAAGGAAGATTTCCTGCAAGCTCAAAAACCTTAACTACTATTTGCTTAAGAACCCCAAAAGGTTAAAACACATAATAACCCCTAGATTACCCTTAATCAGCAAGAACATTTTGCATTTTTCGGGGAGCTCTTTAAAGCAATTAGTAGTGAACGGCAACCCGGAGACGCCGCTTCAAGGCTCGCACGTCGCTCACATCCTCCACAGGTATGCTTGCCACCTCGTCTCCTGACAGCTTCCTGATGTGCAGCATGGCGGAGGCGTTGAAAGCATTGAAGGGCGGTAAACCCTAAAGGCTAAACCGGAAGCTGCCGTGCCTGCCTACGCTGACGTGTTGCCGGTGCCGTGGGGTTGTTGCAGGTAGCTGCTGTGTGTGATGTCTGATGCAGGTGCCTGTGTCTGTTTCGCTCTTTCTCTCTCTCTCTCTCGCGATGCGTCTATGCATTCGTTGCAGGCCACATGGACCCGAACATTGGGGTGATATACCCTATACTACCATAATCCTCATTAAGGTTAGATGCATTATATTAACCATAAACCCTTTCAAGGTTATATGTCTTATGTGAGCCATCAACCCTTTTAAGGCTATATGTAGTATATGAACCCTCAACCCTTCTAAGGTTCATGTGGTCCCAAGGTTCTCATTATGAACTGCGTGCTCGGCCTGCCAGTGCCTGGGGCTTCTGGCACGGCACAAAGCTCTGGAAGAGAGCCGCAACACAGCGAACGCAGGAGCATGCAAAAGCGCCTTAAAGCATACAATGGGGTTTTAGGGCTTAGGTTTAGGGTTGGCCAAGCTTGATATCTGAACCTTGATGCCGGACATAAACAGCCTTCTAAGCTCAAATCGTGTAAAGATAGACCCAAAAAAACCTACAAACCCTTAACCTGAGCCTGAAGTGAGAGCCCCCAGGCTCAAGTGTACCTCAGCATGTACATCTGGGCACCACTCGGGACTAGGGATTATGGTATCCGGTCTTCGGGCTTTGGACACAGTCGCCACATAGGAGCCACCTGAAAAGCTGAAAGCACGTTTCTGGAGGCACATGTTTAGGACCTCCTGAATCCTAAACCCTAAACCCTAAACCCTAAACCCTAAACCCTGAACCCTGAACCCTAAACCCTAAACCCTAAACCCTGAACCCATCAACTTTTTGCTGAGCTTGTGACTTGTCCAACGCCTGCATCTGCGGGACCAGGTAGTCGGACCCTGCTTTGCACACGATGGGGTTTCGGGTTTAGGGTTTAGGGTTTAGGGTTTAGGGTTTAGGGTTTGGGGTTGATGCTCCCTCGAGCTCGCAAGAGATCTGAGGCTTGGAGAGTTTCGGCTTGCCTGGGACCCTATACCTACGGCCAGAAATGGGCCTGCGCATCCCGCTTGGCGAGCGTACCCCCCGTACACCCCAAGAGGCGCCCTGTGCAAAGCGAACTCCCCGGCGAGCGAAACAAATGTTCTCAACCCTGACACCCTCAACCCTTTCACCCTAAGCCCTAAATCCTGGAAACATAAAACCCTGTAATTTTAAACCCCCACCCGCTAAACCCTACTAAACCTCCTAAATCCGAAACCATGAGCCCTGAAGCCCAAACCTACTTCTGTAGGTCACCAACAAGAATCCTAGGAATCAGGGTGCCACTTCCGGGCACCACTGGGTGTCCAGGGAGGGTCTGGGAATCTGATGGTTGAGGGCATGCTGGCTTCTTGCCGGGCTTAGGGGGTCAAGGGCCATGGGATTCTTCTTTCGGGTTTAGGGCTCATCGGGCTTATCCCAACTAGGAACTGTACAAGTACCTTACATCCTAAACCCTAAATCCTAAACCCTAAACCCTAAACCCTAAACCCTAAACCCTAAGCCCACAACTTGCAAGCATCAAGGATCGCCGGCAGCACGGTCGATGCCCAGCTGCTTCTCCTCTCTCTCGCAGAGCGCGCAGTTTTGGGGGCTTCTGGGGGCACATGGTTGGGGCCAGCCCTAAACCCTAAACCCTAAACTCTAAACCCTAGACCCTAGACCCAAAACCCTAAACCCTAAACCCTAAGCCCTAAACCCTAAACCCTAAACCCTAAACTGTACAATTTGGGGTGCACAGGGGTCGGAGTCCTCGGCCTCCTATGGCAAAAACCCCTGTGTGTCCCACCATCCACATAAGAGGCTACAACCGGGAACAAAACCATCGACTCGACATCCTCTAGTACCTTCCCAGGCCTCGCTCTGAGGGTAGTTACGTGTCCCGGAAAGGGGGGCCAGACGCCAGAAACCTCTAAGAGAGGTAAGGGGGGCCATATCAAGGGCCTATGTACCTTCCAAGGCCACACAAAAAAGGTTTCGGGCCTAGGTATGGCTGAGGGTTTTGCAGCAGGGCGTCGTGTTCATGTTCAAGGAACAAAAAGACCCTCAGCCCTAAACCTTAAGCCCCCTAAACCCTAAACCCTCGTAAACCTCTAGGGGCTCCCATATAGTCGGGGCATAAGTCCCGAGACCCCTGCGCTGAAGTCCGCATCGTAAATCCCAAGCCCGTAAGACCCCAAATCATGTCTCCTTATAGCTCCCTCAGCCCCGAACTCCAAGCATGAAACCAAAAGCTCTTAGTCTTCTAAACCCTGAACCCTAAACCTCTAAACCCTAACTCTAAACCCTGCAGGCCCCCCCCCCTCTCCCAAAGCCCCAAAGCCTACTTTCAGGTTTAGGGTTTAGGGGTTACGGTTCATAGGGTTTCGCTTATTGCCTTGTCTAACCCGCAACCCTCGACCCAAAAGCCTAAACCCTAAACCCGAGTCGCACAAGGAACGTGCCTCCGTGTAGGCCATGAGCTTCCTCCGGTTCGCCTGCTTCTCACTTTGGGTTTCTGTTTTAGGTTTTGCGGATTAGGGTTTAAAGGGTTTAGGGTTTAGGGCTCTGGTATCTGCGCAGGTTTTCGGGTTTAGGGTTTAAAAGTTTCTAAGGTTTAGGGTTGGTGAAGGAGGTTGATGGGGGCTGAGGGGTTTGGGGGCTTCGAGTTTAGGGGGAAATTTGGCGACCGTAAAAGGGCGGCTGGCATTTCTTCAGCAACTTGGGCACACCTCTCTGCCAGCTTTTCTGAGTCCTGAGCCGTAAATCCCTGAATCCCTCCTAGCTGAAGACATCCTGGTTCCGTGACCCCAGGGACAACGCTTAGGGGCTTTTACAGGGGGGCGTCGGGTTCAGGGTCTCCCCTGAAGGGTTTAGGGTTTAGGAGTTCAAGGCCTAGGGCTTAGGGTTTAGGGCTTAGAACCCATAAGCCTTGAACCCCTACATGATTTATCCGATTTGCAATGAGCAAGCTGGACAGCCAATGATGTGAAAGGTATGCAGACATGGAGATTGCTTCCTTGGCGTGTCTTGAAAGAGACCACTACTTGGGGGGGGGGGGGGGTTTACAGTTTGAGGGTTACTCAAAACCCTAAACCCTAGGCCCTAAGCCCTACACTCTAAGTTTGCGGAGAACGGCCACTACAGGGCTACAACCTCGCAGGGGCTAAGGAGGTTGGATCTTTTGGATGTGTGGGGATGTGTGGGCTGGTGCCTATCCGGGGCGTATGGGGGGTAGGTACCTAGGGAGCCTTCGGCAAGCTTAGGGAGCCTTAGGGAGGGGAGTATTAGGAAACCTTGGGTTACATGTACATGCCCCCTTGAACCACCCTCCCTCAAGAACTCCCTAGTTGTAAGGCTGGAAGGCTCCAGAGGACCCACAAGCGACCAAAGTGAACTAGGCCCCTAAACGTCCAGGCATATATGGGCACTGGTAGGTTTGGGCGTTAAAGGGGACGTGGGTCCGAATCCCTATAAACCTTATGAACCCTACACCGGCCCTAAACCCTACCTAAACCCTAAACCCTAAACCCTAAACCCTAAACCCTAAACCCTGCACCCTGCACCCTAAACCCTAAACCCTAAACCCTACACCCTAAGCCCTAAGCCCGAAGCCCTAAACCCTAAACCCTGTTAATCTCTTCTGCTCAGGTTTGAAGATTTCAACAGCTAGAAACTCGGCAAGCCAGCCTCACACACGGACTTGGCGGCCTCCACGCGTCACACGTTTCAGAACAGATGGGTTCCAGTGTAACCTTAAATTACAGCTAGGCTCCAGCGTAACCTGAAGTTAGGGTTTAGGGTTTGGGGTTTAGGGTTTGGGGTGTGGGGTTTAGGCTTAGGGTTAGGGTTTTGGGTGCAGGGTTCGGGGTTCAGGGTTTAAGTGCAGCCTGAACAACATGAAGCACAAACGATCGTTAAACAAACAGAACAACAATAGCCGACAAAAGAACAAGTACTAACTACCATGAGATTGAGATCGGCAACACGCGTTTTGATAACCATAATAACGTGAAACGGATGGCAACAAAGAACACAACATATTCACCCTGCTTCTCTAAGTTTCAAGCGCCCGATAGACCCTAGGCCCCCTTGGGGGCCCTTTGAGGTTTTTAGGGTTGGCCATGTCTTGCACCTGCACCAACACCAGGTATGTGGGGTTGGGGGTTTAGGGTTTTAGGGTTCTATAGGGTTTTAACGGTTTAGGAGTTTAGGGGCTTAGTAACTCAGATTATGAAGGAACCCGGCCCTCTAGGTAGAGATAGTATGGCCTCCTCCCCCCGGTCTCTCCCAAAAAGGAAGAGGTGACAAGCATTAACAGGTGTTTATATAAACCAGTAGAGCAAGCTAAACCTTGAACCCCAAACCCCAAACCCCACCCCCAACCCCCAACACCAAACCCTAAACCCCAACCCTAAACCCTAAACCCCTAACCCCCTAACCCCTAAACCCCTTAACCCCTTAACCCCTAAACCCTAAACCCTAAACCCTAAACCCTAAACCCCACACCCCAGGGGCCTGGGTGTTGCGGGGTTTTAAGGGTTCTACTTGCAGGTTGGGGCATCCTCGAATTGATAGACCAAAGCTCTGTGCGGTTGGTGAAAAAAAGGGGTTTGTGTACGGGGCTTAGGGTTTAGGGTTTAGGGTTTATGATGGCTTAGGGGGTTTAGGGCGTTTAGGGATTTCTGTTGGGGGTTCGGCTGTAGGGTTTGGCCGCCCGGCGCTTTTGACGCTGTTTTCGCTTCCGGCACGGCTGGCGCTCCGGGCAATGCCAAAGACCCTACCATGCGCAGGCACCCTCCTCAAACTCCTCCTCGTCCTCAACGAGGCCCACATCCGCATCATCCTGAGCTCGTGCGTACAAAATCACCGGCTTAGGGTTTTAGGGTTTAGGCCTCAGAGAACTATCTCCTTGAACATGGGT